GTAGGTATTTAATTGTAAGCTTTCAAGTTCGGTTTGTCCATCTCGTGCTCAAACTTTTCATGTATAAATACTTGAATACCTTCCGTGCCCACCGCGTATTATCCATTTTGGTCAACCTTTGATCCAATTTCAACTTACTAAGTGCCTCCCTGCTCTCAAAAGACGACCAACCCAAGTCCCCCTGCACTCACTCATTTGGTGTCTTTTATATGTGCTGCAAATGCCAATCTGCCCACGTTTCTTTGAATTTCGAATCCTGATTGAACCTCTTAATTTATGCACAGTACCTCCTTGCCAAAAGACAGTCCTGGTACCATCACCCCTTTCAAGATACCTCTGACCACTACATATCTATTATAGTTTCATAGTGCCTTGAGCTTTATAAAAGATTAATTTATTTTCCCATTTCTAATTGTATTTTCTTCATGTTTCTCTAAATAATTCCTTTCCTCGTTGAGCCAGACGTCCAGATCTTTGCATTTTTTTACTTGGTCTATTACAATGTCTTGTATATTCAAGGGTTTCCATTTTTTGTCGTTAACCACAGCTACTTCAGACTTGTCACTAGTAATTCTCATCCCGAAGGTGTCCCCTTCCTGCCCACATAGTCCAGCTCGTTCCTGTAATGTATCCGGGTTATCTGCCATAAATACGATTTCGTCCGCGTATATCAGTCCCCTGGTATAACCTGTAATATATTTCTCACTCCCTGTATATAACTCACTTCCAAACCTAAATTGCTCTGCTCTAATTTGTATTTTCATTTCACTGAGATATATCATGAAGAGTAGAGGTGACGGTGGACAGCCCTGCCAGAGGCCTCTTTTTATTGCTGAAGTTTGTGTAGTTTTTGTTTCCCAGGTTATAATCGCCTTATTATCTCTGTACACCTGCTGAACAAACTTAACCAAATTTGCATTTAAATGGTACTCCCTCAGCAGAACCTAGAGTTTTTCCGGCTCACATTAACGCACGCTCCCTTGATGTCCAAATAGGCTAAGCATAAAGGAGTTTATTGCTATTTCTATGCATTGTGTGGTGACGAATAAGTTTTCTTCCAGTCGTTTTCAGAATTAAAAGTTGATAATCCGTTTCTCCGGACTAGAACAAGTTTTTTTTTTTTATTACAGTTATCACTAAATAAGGTGATATTCTACATGATATTTGTGTTGCTGTTATTTTTGCATGCTTGCTGCCAATTATACTGGGACTTTTTGCAGAAATGGTAAGACAACGCGGTTGGGTAGTAGTGAGTGGAACCACGATTCGCGGGTTTCGGTTTTGAGGCTTCATCCCCCAGCGCAAGCCTGCAAATCTGTACATTGTTAAAATAAAGGCGGTAACACTGTGTTCCTACTTTCTTTGCGAGTCGCCGTTTCGTGCGCGAAAATGAATGCAACGGCTGCTGAGCCTTCACCAGAAGATATAACAATATTATCGTAAGTATACGCATGTTTTTCGGTTCGAGTTACTTGACTCCAGATTTGCATAAACGTGTGCGTCCGATATTCGCGAAGTCTCGTTTTTTAGCAATGGTGAGGGTGCAGGCTAGCTGGTGTAAATTGAGCATAGTTGTAACCCGAGACTGGGGATACGGACAAGGGACAAAACACAGAACGACAGGGACGAAGTCTCAAACGCAGCTACAAACTTTATTTCACAGGACAAACATATATGTCACTCGCCACCCTCGTCCCCCTCTCTTTCCCTTCCTTTTCCCAAAACTCCACCCCTTCCCTCTTCCTTTTCCCAAGCCCCCGTACATTCCAGTCAAAAACAATTTTGATGGCGCCAACTCCAAGTTGCCGACAGATCCCGTGTCAACAGCCCACACCGCGACATCCCGAGGTCACTCCGGCTCTCCCAAACACAGTCGCAAAGACGCCGACAGAACCCTTGTCCCCCCACACACACCGTGAAACCCCGAGGTCATCCCGGTTCTCTCAAACCAGTCAGCCGCAAAAAGTTTTCGGCTTCCGAACTTAAGTGGATGGACGTGTGACTGATGCATTCGGGAGACGTCTTTATTCTAATGGTCTCTCTCACTAATCTTTTCATGTCGTTGTTTTCTTTTTCTACAATCTTTACGTCTCCCCAGGCTGGAGTGCAGTCGGCACATTCATTCAAATGTTTAGCTATTTCCGAATTCGTATCAGCTGCGTTTGAGACTTCGTCCCTGTCGTTCTGTGTTTTGTCCCTTGTCCGTATCCCCAGTCTCGGGTTACAACTATGCTCTCGTTTTTTACTTTTAAAATGACGTTTTATGATGTTAGGACGCATACGGTCGTTTAAAAAAATGGGAAGAATTGGGAACGTCGGATGTGGAATGTCGAGCATGATTGTTTTTTGTTTAGATTTTTGCGGATAAATAAAAACCGCGTAATGACACTCATTAAAAGCAATATTATTTTGCTTTGGCACAAACTTCTTATAAGCCGAAAAGAAGATTGCTAGATTTACGAGGAGGGCTTTAAATACTTGTCAGTCAATGTTGCAACTACCTCGTTGAATCACTGGAAAAATCAAATAAAAATCACCTTATCCAGAATGTGCCGCGTCATTCGTGACTTGTGTAGCGAGCTGAGTCAATTACTGGTCCATTTTTTGTTCTTGAGGCAGAACATATTGATGAGGACCCCCTCAAAGCCTCATAAACACAGGTACCATGTCGCGTTCTACGCACTTCGTCGTAACCGCTGGTAGTACTAGAACGTACGATGGTAACCGCACGACCGCACGGCGGCCATTTGCAATCCTTGACGGCGTCGCGTTCTCGCGCGTGCGCGCACGTTTGCCGAATTTTTTTCCGCACATTTGCCGAACTTTTCTTCAATTTCTTCAAATGTTCGACGTGTGCGGAACTCCCGTCTTCCGTTCACCACGCAAAACACTGCCATCGCGACTCTGCTGCTGTTGCTGACCGCCAAAATACAGAAACACAATGATTGCCGGTTGGCACTAGGCATTGTAAAACAGAACTGTTTTCCAATGCCGATTGCCAACGCCGGCATCGGAAACTGCATCCAAGACCTGCCCGTCTTGGACGCAGTTTCCGAGGTTTTTGATAACGCCGTCAATGACACGACGATCCGCAATCCGGAAGCGGCCATCTCAGCCCAGTGTACGTATAGCGCTGCCAGCGCTGGTGGCACTGCTCCGGAACTTCGCAGTTTCTAAAGGCTTCGTTTGATCGTATGATGAAATCAGGGGTAAAATACATCAATGCGACTACAATTTTCTGCAATTTTGGACTAGGGGAAGGAATTAGATGCAGCTTCCGCTTTCGCTGAAGCTCAATCAACTCAGCAACCTTCAGTAAACAACGCGCGCGACATGAGGTGAGGAAATGAGAAGGGAAAAACCAATCTCGGTTCCTCCCTTCTTCTAAAGTCCTCTTGGAGGGAGTCAATAGAAGTGAGGTAAACGCATCGTTGCTACCTTTTTTCCTCCTTTTTTCTTTGCGTGACTAGTCTACATAAGTAAGCCTAGAATAAAACCGATTCACGTGATGTGACTGCGTTACACTGCGATTAATCCCACAGTGAACTTGATACCGCGAATAAAATGAAGCTGCTTGAGAAGTTCATCGTGAGGTCGTTCATCAGTTTTGTATATTCGCCACCAATAACTCAAGAAATCATGCACAAAAAGAAAAAAAAAAAAACACTTAACAACGCAGAGTAGCAAACACTCAAAACCACAAAAGGCGACGAGCGTCGTATGACAATGCTTGAATTAGAGCACTGCACGGGCCCGGGCCAGCCCGAAAGCCCGAGCCCGGCCCGGGCGGCGGGCCGGGCTCGGGTCGGGTAGCACGCCTTTTTCTCAGACCCGGGCCGGGCTCGGGCTTGAACAAAATATTTTTCGGGCCGTGGCGGCCCGGGCCGGCCCGGGCCCTGGCTGGGCAGTCGTTCGCCGCAATTTCTAAATGTTTGATAACAAAAAGTGTTCTGATTGATCTTTTAGGTTCAAGCGAAATGCAAAATAACTATGGCGCCGTTCAAAAGAGAGAGAGAAAAAAAAGAAGACGTTTTATAAACAAGCGAAATGCAAAATAACGTGGCGCCGTTCCAAAAAGAAAGACGTCTTGCACTTGGAAAGTATTCACGTGGATAAAAGGAAACGTATGGATTCCACCAGCATAGTAGCAAAGTGCGGTCAAGAAGACGAGGGCATTCCAATCTCAGGGTACAACATGAATGTCTTTTCCTCTGCCTTTCACACTAAAAAAAAAAAAAAAAGAGAAGAAAAACGTCAGCTTGACTTTGCACTTTGTGCAGGAGGCCTTACGATGCCACCAAAGATAAGCTAACTGCCATAGATGATTTTATCCTAATACAGCCTTTTGAGGATGCACTAGTGGGATTCTCAGTGTTTCTTCACAAAAACATGTAGAGAAGAAAGTTGTCTATGAAAGGAATTAAACAATAAAAAGTCCAATATCTCTTCAAGAAATGCACCAAATAAAATATTGCCCACTTTTTTTTTCTCTAAATCACTTATGAAGTACATATTTCGCCCATATTCTCAAAAATACATCATCAAAGTCAAAATATTTATCGTGTCAAAAAATAAAAACAACAATGTCAATAATACCCCTGCCAGACGGGCACCTAAAAGGACCTTTACGCCAAAGGCCTTCAGGATTTTCAAATGACCTTTACGTTCTGCCGTGACAGACAGCACAAGTAAATGTCATTTGGAGGATGTTTACAGCGATTGAACTCCCGCAGCTCGTTCAAACGCATAAAGCACGTTCACGCCTGAAAGATAATATTTCCGCGATATAAATAATTTTTTAAAGTTTTTCTAAAGCAAACAAAATATTAGAAAAAACAAAATGACGAGTTTAGTCGAGTGATTACAACAATGTCTGCTTTATGCCCATGCACAGTGGTTTTTTGGCAATTAGCGGCAACCCTGAGCGTCGCCCGCTCGCTCGGAGGGGCGTTGCCAGGTTCCCTTGCTTGGTCCTGTTGCTCAGTGCGCGCACTCCTTCCCGTTCTTTACGCTTTTGCCCTGTTCAGTTCGGCGTCGTGCTCGCGCTCGAGTTTCAACGCAGTTGCCCCAGTTTGTTCCTTCGATGGATCTTCCTCCCGATGTTGATCCGGCTACGATGGACCCTGCGTCTCGTGTCGCGTTCCTGGTGTGCCTGCGCAACCACCATGAAAGTGGTTTAGCATCGCTGAATAGTTCTTTGTCGTCGATCACGGAGGCTTTGACGTCGATCAGCTCCGACGTTCAGTCTGCCCGACGAGAAGCTGATTTCCTCGAGGAAAGGCTTCTTGCAAACAGCCTGGTCATCGCTGCAGCGACAGCAGGAGAAACGACCATGCCGCGGAGCGTCCAAGCGTACTTTCGGGGTGAACGATGGTTTGAGGAGACGCTACCGAACCTGCCGGAGAGCCACTTCAAGCAGGCTTTCCGGGTGATGCCGGCGACCTTTCGGTACATCGTGGACGTTTGTCGGCCCCACATGGAGCGCCAGGTCACCCCTATGCGCCCCACTATATCGGTCGAGAAACGAGTTGGAGCTGCGCTCTACAAGCTGTGTTCCAGCGCGGAAGACAGGACCGTCGCCCACTTGTTCGGCCTGGGGCGGTCAACGGTCAACGATAATTACAAAGAGTTCTGCCACATCGTCGTTTCCGAGCTGGAGCGCGACTGGCTCAAGGTGATGACCGCCGCCGAACTCCCCGACCACGTCCGCGAGTTCCAGGCTGCCCTGGAATTTCCGCAGGGCATAGCCGCGCTGGACGGCTGCCACTTCCCCGTGTCGCCACCTAAGGTCAACGCCAGCGACTACTACAACTACAAGGGCTGGTAAGTACACTAATTAAAACAAAACAAAACAAAAATAGCTGCGTTTAATGGATCTCAGTAGAGTAGATTGTTGGGCTATTTCGTTTTGGAACTTGGAATACATTTTAGCGCTCAAAGCACAAGGACACAAAGACGAGAATCGCACTGTGGCGTCCGATTCTCGTCTTTGTGTCCTTATGTTTTCAGCGCTAAAATGTATTCCGCGTTTAATGAGGTGGAAATGACGAAACATTACCGAAACACGAGATGCTAGCAGGTGATTGTTAGCTTGTCATTTTAAATAATGTGCCGTGCTAGCTCTGATAATGTGTAAAAATTTTCTTTTTGAATCTACAGCTTTAGGAAAACCCGAAGCCTCACGTATTATGTGTGAAAAACTGACGCATGCATTGTATTTTTTTCTCCAGATACAGCATCATTCTCCTGGCCCTTGTAGACCACCGGTACCGGTTCCGGTACGTCAACGTGGGGACGCCAGGGCGGTGCCACGACGCGCATGTCTTTCGGAGGTCGGCACTGGCCAAAATTCTGGAAGGGCCAACGTTTACAACACCAATGGTCACCATCAACGGGACTGCCGTGCCGCCTCTGGTTCTCTGCGACCAAGCCTTTCCTCTGACGTGCAACATGCTGAAGCCATACGCACGCAAGAATGTCGCGGGACAGTCTCCGCAGGAGAAGTTCAACCGGCAACTGTCGTCTGCACGTAGGGTCGTGGAGAACGCCTTCGGCAGGATCAAGGCACGGTTCCGCTTCATCATGAAGCGGCTGGAGTGCGACGTGGACAACGCCCGCTTCGTTATACGGGCTTGCTGCACGTTGAATAACATCTGCGAGCACTTCAACGACGGCGTGGAGTCCCAGTGGCTCACCGAAGTTGGCACGGAGGCCCGCCTCTACGAGCAGCCAGTCTGCAACACGGATGCCGTGGCAGGCAATGGTTCGAGTGTCCGGGACTCCATTGCTGCCTACCTTCACCAGCACTAGAGTGAAGAGCGAAGCAAAGGCCCTTTCGAGTTCCACCGGAACGAAGGCCCTTTTGAGGACCAGCAGAGCAAAGACCCCTTCACCACCACAGAAGAAAAGGCCCTTTTGAGCCCCAGCAAAGGCCCTTCTCAGGGCCAAAAAAATTTGGCTTTAGAGCTGACTTCTTTCGATGCCTCCTCCCGTTGTCTCAAATGAAGTTAAACCGCAGTATTTATTTGAACATTTCAACCATTTTTCAGTTTTTATCTTTTTTTTTTATGTCTGAATCAAGACGGTAGAGGTGTGCACGTTTCAACTTTGATGCCCCATCTGGCAGGGTAGCACGAGACACGGTTTGGGCACAAGTTCCAGGCCGAAGGCTTCTCAAAAGAGAGTTGAAACTTTCTTTTGAGTCACTAACATAGTACTTGTGTCCACTCTGCATTCCTGTCTGGCCTATCAGTAGTAGATGTGGAACTTGCTAGGTACTATTGGTGAGGAGATCAAGGCCTGCGTGTTTGCTCCTCTAAACATAATCAATAGTAGATCCTCTCAGCACCCTTTAGGTAGCCCGGATGAGCACCATCGTCTGCTCCATTGCCTGCTTCAGTGGTCATGCTCAGAACGAGCTCACATTAACAAGCTGCTAAGACCGGCAACCAATGGTGTCGCGAGAAATTACATTAGTAGGCTGCTAATACAGGCAATCTTGTAGTTGTATTCACATTGCAAATTACTGTGGAAGCTCTCTATCGCACTCTGCAGTCGCGCACACACAGCTGTGGCCGCCAGCGAACGAGACGTAGTTGCGACGTGACCCATACTCTCGTCAAGCTTCGGGCTGTTTGCCGCTTGGGGCGGGTCAGGGATCTACTAACCAAAGGTCATGCGAAGGCCTTGTCCCAGCCAAACGCTGACGCAGCGTTCGGTTTCGTCAGCCAAGCGCTGGCTAATTGTTATTTCTCGTCCCCATCTGTGTAGTTCTAAAGTTAGTCACTTGGGGTGTCAGGGTCTGATCTCCTCCCCAATATTAACTGGAGATGCTGGAGTTTCGGAAAGATTCACGCTTCTCGCTCCAAGTCAAATTTGGGGGCTTTACATGCCAAACCAACGATGGGCATCTGGCACGCCACAGCGGAGGATTGAGGATTAATTTGGACCACCTGGGGATCTTTTGACTATACTGAAAGCTTGGTTACACGGCGCCTCCTCTGCAATAAGCCTCCGTCAGATTGCGGGCACCTCGGCCGGGATTCGAACCCGCCACATGGGATCCGTAGGCCACCACCCTCGCCTCGGAGCCACCGAGGTGGCTACCCTTTTTGCCCTGTCAGTCACTATAACAGCGAGACACAGGAGTGTCACTTTCCATAACATTTTTCTTTTGTGTGTGGGTGGGGGGGTGGGGGGGGTAGTATGAATATTAATGCGTAGTAGAACACTTAGAATTGTGCATGTTAACAATAAAGACATATCAAATACCATAGCTAGATGAATAATTACTCCAAAGTACAACACAAATGTGCTCCATCCGCTTACTTTGGTGCTTTATTTAGAAAAGCGATCATCGCCGCAGTCAGGTCTTCCTGCGCCTTCGCAGCACGTTCTTGTTGCTTCAAAGCACGTTCTTGCGCTTGCAACACAAGTTCTTTCTGAACGAGCTCCCGCTCCCGGAGCTCGAATTCCTTTGCTCGAGCGGCTTCAAAGCTCAAACGGAGGAGCTTCTGCTCCTCAATTGCTGCCCTAATGAGGGCAGTATTAGGGTGCTGAGCCCTTTTTTTTGGAGGCGCCCTCGCTGGCACGGACACGCCGTTGCTTGCAGAGGTGCTTGCAGCGCAGCTGGTGCTCGCGGTGCTCGCCCTCCTTGAGCTTGCGGCCAAGCTTTCTCCTCTGTGCCCGCTCAAATCTGAAGCCTCGAAGCCGACTCCAGCGGCTCCGACATCATGTGAGTCGTCTCCCACGTCCATAGGTGGCTCCTCGAACATCTCGCCATCCTCTGCACCTCCATCCTGCAAGCCTGCAAGCAACTGAGAAAATTTCCATACAATCAGATATTCATATTAAACCGCAATTCAGGTATTATAATCCATCTCACAACAACTTGGCAAACTTTGGAAGCTACACCCTCGTGATTCCACAAGTGCATCGGTGTGAGGCATGTTGCATCATTGAACAGATGTACCATCACTTTCGGACGCACGGGCATGAGGAATCTGCTGTCATCTTTGGCTTCTTCAACTCCTTCCTTAACTATATTCAATGAACTGACACCCATCCACCAACTGCTCGCTGAAGAACTACCTGGCCACCACCTTTGGTCAGAAGTCTACCAATTACACCACTGGTTTTGCCTATATTCTGTTTCACGATAACTTGGCAAACTGTGGAGGCTACGGCTCCTGCGACCCAAAAACAGCGTTGGAGCGAGGCATGTGACTCTATGTCACGGGAGCGTTTGTGTCACTGCTCCAAAATCAAGACCTGGAGGAACTGGCTGTCATCTGCTGATCAAAAGTCGTCTGCTGTGAAACCAACCAACTTCAGATGAACATTCACCGGCGCAACATTGCCATCCGCTAGAGTAGTGAGCTCTTTGGAAACTGTTTATGAGACAACCATACGTTCAATTTACTAGCGAATCTGTGGTGGGTGCTAATGCCACGGCACAGTGCGATGTTTGAGCGGAAGTGGTGGATTACACGGCTGCAATCGTTCACATATCATTCAAAAGCCATATTGTTCCTGGGAAAGGGTTGATCCTTATTAAGTATCATTGAAAAAAAAGTAACATGTCTTCATCTTCCGTGTCATGTAGTGTGGCGGACAGAAGGGTCTCACTGCAACACTACTAACAGTAAAAGAAGCCTAGAACAACTTTTTGTCACGGACAATGCTGTTGTTGTGGTGGTAACGAGGCTTAGCTCCGTGGCCTCGATTATGGAGTGTTGTCACGTGCCTTCCTCAGACACTCTTATTGGGTCGCGGAAGCTGCAGCCTCCACAGTTCGCCAAGTTATCGTGAAACGAAGTATAGAGCTGCTCTATACAGCAGCCTTAGCTCCCCAAAGTAACAACACGAGGACTAACTTACCCGACAAGTGAGAGACCTGCGGTCGCCTGCTCCACTTTCGGTATCGTCACCATTGCATTGCCGATGGCCCGTCTAGGAACCTCCAACGAGGGCACATAAAGGACAGTAGCCATTCTTCGGAAGCGCTAGTGTAGCCTTTGAGGTATTTCCTCTTCTATTTGATGAAGGACGAGTCCCAGTTCATGCAGAATCGCTGGATCTCTGACAGGTAGGTCGGAAGCAGACGACTTGTTTTTCGTATAAGAGCTTGCCGATCTGTTTGTAAACACGAGTTGGTGTATAATACAGAAACCTTGTTATGAAAGATTGATATCACCAGCCGACCTGCACTACTGCAGGCGTTGCACGGTCCAGGCAGCTCTCTACGACCAGGCTGCTGTTGTTGAGCGGCAGCGACCCCATGAACCTGTGGATGGCGAAGTAGTAGGCCCAGGTCTGCTTCCCGGATCCCGTGGTGGTGCCTTCCCGTGCATGTTTCCTAAAAATTAAGGCAGCTGTAAGTGTCACATTCATGTAGTTCCGTAAATGTACATGCAACACTCACAACACCTAATAAACAGAAATCGCTTTGCAAACCACCTTCAGATTGAAGATTGGCGCACACATGATGCTACCTGTTTTACGTGGCTTGCATGTGACGTCATGGCATTGTGCAGGTGGCCAGTTCTACTTATTATTGCTCAAAAAAACAACCTCAGTGGGGTGGAACATACGCTGCAGAAGGGACACATATACCAGCTGCCACAACAGCAAGTGGTATGATGTCAGTGATAACCATGTATATAGTGCCAGCACATAAAAATCAGCATGTTTTACTTTCTAATCGTATCGCAATGTCAGGTTAGACCTTCTGTGGCATTGTCTGTTATTGCTTACAACATACAAATACATATAAAATAGTTGAAGTCGAAGGGATTGATGGCTGTTTGAAGGAAATTCAAAAATCTGTTTCTGAACGTGTCGGACTAAGACTACAAAGGGGGTCGAAGCATGCGCTTTAAGGGCATACGGATCCCACTGCTTCTGGGTGGAGTTTTGACGGCAACCTCTGGGCTGTGTGAAGCGCCTCAACAAGGAGGGGTAAAACCAAAACAAGCCACAACAAGAGTTGTCATCACTAAACCCGACTCTGAAAAATGCGGTACTCGGTGTCTTCACTGCTGTCGACGCTGAGAGCACTGCTGATATCTGTCGAGTCCGACTGTTGCGCCAATCAGACACCTTTGGGTCGCCGTGGGAAGGAATTTAATGTTTTTAATTTCTTACTGTTTACTCAAGTTTCTTCAGTGAATTTTTTTGCACCCTTGATGCACGTTCACCGCCACCTTTATGCAAAATTGTAGCTTGATACGTTTAGAAACCGATTTATGCCGTCCCTTCAAAAAGTCATCGATCCCTTTGACTCGCCCTCTAGATTTAAACGGATTTTACTCCTAGGTGAGTTTAGCTCTTCAGTACCGATGTCTTATGTGGTTTGAGCCTCGGAGATCATGAAACATGGCAAGTCAGCTGTGAAGCTTTGAACATTGCTGCAGGCGAAGACGGCTACTCAAAACGCGTACGAGCTACGCAAAGGAGCGGTGGCCGAACACGGCACGCGAGACAAACACTGCAGGTAGGCGAGCCCTGTCTTTGCGCGCCGCGCAAATTGAACGGTCGTCCCTATCGGCACTGTTTGGCGTGTGTGTGTTCGTAGGATTAGCAGGTTACACCAAACGTGTGAAGTTTTCCTTACCGATAAGTGCTGCACAGATTCTCGATCTTGTTGTGGACTTGGTCCCTCGTCGTTCGAAAGAGGGCCCCCAACGCTTCCGCGATCTCGGCGTAAACGGCACCGTTCCTCTTGGCGCGACGGAGGTCCTCCAGCCGATCCTCCCAAAGCCGAATCAGCGCCCAGGTCGCGTCGACGCTCCAATGGACGCGCGGCGACCCCTTCCTACTCGTCGACGCTCCTCCGTCGTTCGACATATCGCACGACGCGAGAGATATAGAAATATATATACAAAACAAAGATTAAATATATACAGTACAGTTAGTAATACACTATTAAAGGATGATAAAATATAAAGTAGAGAAATAAAAGCTAGATAACTATGGTTGTAAGAAAAATCGAAAGGGGGAAAACCGAAGTGCCGAAGCGAACGATGCGAGCAGGCGAGCAGCGGGACGATTACGCCTACTAGATAGCTGGGGCCATGGGTACAAAAAACTATTAGTAGAGCGAGGTCTGTACAGATTATACGTCAAACACGCTCTTTTTTAATAATAAAATTACAAAAATATTTATTTTAGAAATCAGTACGATCTTTATTTTCAATCCGCGTCTCTAGTGTAGACCGCTGCTGACGAGAGTAGGCCTTTAGCAGCCGTAAAGGAGTTGTGGGAACTCAGGTTCCCGAAAAGGACCTTTACGCTAAATGTCATTTGAGTAGCCGTGTGGCACTGCCTAAATGACATTTACACTAAAGGTCCTTTGGCGTAAAGGTCCTTTTAGGTGCCCGTCTGGCAGGGGTATAACTCGGTCTGAATCTAAGTCAAATATCCTGGCTTTATGCTTAGACAGCTTTTAGATTAAAGCCTACAAACTTTTTCGTGCTCATGTATATAATCTGTCGGGCTCGGGCCGGGCGCAGACTTATGTTAAATTTTTTTTTTCGGGCTCTGGCCGGGTTCAGGCTTCTGTGGAAATATTCTGCCGGGCCCGGGCCGGGCCCGGGCAGTGTCTCTTCCGGGCCGGGTCGGACCGGGCCAAGAAATTAAATATTCTATCGGGCTCGGGCCGGGCCCGGGCCGTGCCTCTACCGGGCCGGGTCGGGCCGGGCCTAGAAAGTCCGGCCCGTGCAGTGCTCTAGCTTGAATGTCTCCATCGGGTCTTAGGGTTGGCTGCGGCTAATGTAAAACGGAATGTAATAATGCAAGAAACCAGCTCAAGGTATATAATTTATTACCTTAACGCGTAAAAGCAATATTGCGGCAATTGAATTCTATGAGATTTTTTAGTGGTTACATACGGGTCTTACTTTTGAGAGGGTCACGACGATAACGAATTCGACTGCGCGGCTCGGAAACTTTTGATAGTTTTATCATAGTTATAATCGGGAGGCAGTAAAAACGACAAATTTCGAAATACTGCGTGGGGTAGTAAAACATACCTCGTGGAAATCGCGTCTATACCGCGCGGATTCTAGGAATTCATGACTCCGTGTGCAGCAATTTTAGTACTTCCTGATAGCCGTCGGATGTTAATTGATTATCTATAAATCGTGAATGTTTTTTCTCAAACCGTAGTTCTTCTCGTGAGAAGCAAACCATGAAGACGTTCTTTCGCTTCGCTCTCCTTCTGGTTGCAGTCGTTATGGTTTGTGGCACAACTATCTCAGACGTATTCGGTGAGTGCTTTTTCTGTGGTACCATTTGCTTTAGAATTTTAAATACTAATTGCGCTTTCGTTTTTAGATCCCACATTGAAAATATATATTTTTTTGCATGAAACTCGAAAGAACATAAATAGGTTGGCTATCTTTTATGGCGCACGGAAGACACAGCTTCGAGTGTAATATGGTTTGAAGATGCGCTAGTCGGTGCCTGTTGGTAACAGGAGAAAACTATAGGAGAAGTACGCAGGAAAAGAACAGAAAAGACACAAGCACAGATCTGACTCAAGACTTCAGTTTTTTTTCTTTGATGCCGTTCTGTCTCGATAGAAAAAAAACAAAAAAGCTTATGAAGTCGTGAATTAGAGCAGTGTGTGTGTGTTTTGTTTCCTTGTCCCGCGTGTTTTTTGCTATGTTTTTTCCCGCTTCGCGTGTTTATAGCTTTGCGCCAACAAAGCTGATTATTTGAGAGTTGGAAACAACAACAACAACAACAAGAACAACAACAAGAACAGCAACAACGAGAGTTTAGGTCTCCCGAACAGCCTGAGCTGTCGCCCCCATGTATTCGTAGAACTTCTGCGCATGTGCAGTCCGACGTCCCAAGTTGCTCGGGGTTCCCAAAGCGATGGGCTCCCTCATTCTAAAACTCTCTGTTGTTGCTGCAACTCTAGATACTCCGTTTCTGGCCAAGTTCAATTGCAGCCTACTGTATAGACCTTTGATAAGTTACCTTCTGGGCGCTGCCATCTTTGTCTGCCGGGCTGTGGAAAGCCTTCTGAGTGTGCGTTGGTGCTCAGCATTGCGGTTTACCAGACCCTGCGTGTGCGTCTTCAGCTTAGTGACTCCGCATTTGTCACCCGGGTGAAAAGCGATGCAAAGTTCTTTACAACCCGATGAAGCCAATCAATCGGTTCTAGAAATTTCACCGTCATGGCGCTCGTAGTCTTGACACTCTTGTCATCGCCGGTTAAATCAATCACGCAAAGAACGAAGCGTCGAATCCCGGTGTCCATGTGAGTGAGGAGTTTAGCCACTCATGTACAAAACGCACAAAAATCGCGATCGCCATGACGGTGCATTTTCGTTGCTGCTTGATTGGTTTTATGGGATTGTGTACGGCCGACTACGGTCGGACTCGTAGAGTGTAGCAGAGTTTACGCAAAGCGCAAATTCTTCTGATTTTTTTTTTTTTTTGCAACGGGTTTTGGTGACGTCAGACCGCCGAGGACCGATTGGCTCCGATTAAAAAGATAGTGGGTAGACCTCGATGCTATAGCTGCTCGAGGTCTATACGTACCGTCCATCCAATCGCAGCGCCAATCGGAGCCGGGCGTTGTGACGTGACCGCCTCCCCTGCGCAAGTATACCGACTGAACCGACGCTTTGGACACATTTATGTTTCAGAAAAAGGGGACCCCCGCTGCCATCTTTTGGCGCCAGCGGTGCTTTGCCTTGCACCTCGAAGCCATTTCTGGCGCTTTGACGGAAAACGATGCGTATTTGACTTTGGCCAGACTTGTCATACGAAGAACCATCACCCTTCCAAGGCTGAATGCGAGAGAATCTGCGTTCACCGAACTTGATAACACCGATTCACGCGTACTTCTGCGTCCCTTGCAATCAAGATAACGAAGTAATGGGGAAAAAAAAAACATTAAATGAAGAATCAAACTTTGAGTCGTGTCTTTTTTTTTTTTCAGGAGATATGCTACGAACGCTCGACTCTGACTTTACGCCTCAGTGGAGGCGCTGCTGTCAGTGTGGTGCGCATGCGCACGGTCTTCGTGCGAATCTGGTTTCTGCGCACATGGGTCGTCCATGTCCACCTGGTGGGAGAAAACGGTGTGAGCTTGCCCGTAAAAATGCAGCGTGTTTTTCGTCCTTCACAGCGTGCCTGCCAAGTGGAGCCCGTCCTCTGTTTATTGATAATTCTCGAAAACCTCCGCATAACTAAACCGCTTCCGCATCTAAAAGACAGTCGTCATATTAAGTTTCAGCCTCTCGCGATAAAATGAACATGCTTGCTTAGAGCGTTCGGGTCGCCACTTTTAGAGATTGGCGCGAATAAAAGTTTGATTATCCGCATCGAATCCGCACCCGTATACTTCGTATCCCAATCCGAACGTAATAAAATCCAGTGTGAATGAAAAAAACAGAGACAAATAGCACTTTTTAAGTTGTTCACGTATCTTTGCACAAAGATATTTTCGGGTCACAGTACGAGGTGGATGTTATATTATTATTACATGTGTCATTGTGTTTTTATTACAATTTAAAACTGATTAGCCTTCCCGATACTCTGTGCGTCGCTGGAAAATGAACGCAGTTACGTGATCATCCTAAAAGTCCGCAACACTGTGCCCAGAATTTGCGGAAGAAAATAATTTATATATATATATATATGTGTATACAGGTTTTTTTTTTTTTTTAAGATTAACAGATTTGTTTAAAATATCTGTGAAAGCTACACTTATCCGGTTTGTTCAGGTGAGGTATACGGCCAGGGGGACATAGTATATGGGGCTAATCATAACGGTCAGTTGGCTGATTAGTTAAAATGTGTCAATTAACTTTTTTATTTGTGCAAATAGACATATGGTTTCAATTAGAAACTAGCCGAGCGTTATCGAAAACCCCTAAGTCAGTCATTTTCAGAAAAACTTTTAGCGCGTGAGAAGCGTGCGTAGTGCACTAAAGTTAACCCTCGTGGAGCGGGTACAAGGCTAGCGGTTGCGGTAAGGCGCCCGCGCGATTTTTCCGTCTCTTATCTAGCCGCAGCCTTGTACCTGGTCCACGAGTGGTAACTTTAGCGCACTACATTGCTTCTCACGCGCTCAAAATCTTTCTAAAATTAAATTAAAAGACCCGCCAATGACCAGTTCCTCTCCGCTGGTGCACTTGTTGCTGAAATGACATGCACGAACTGCGCCGCGAGAGTGCGGTAAGGAAACTCGTGTTAGCGCAAGTTCCTCCACTTCAGCAGATCGAATGAAGTCTCCTGTATCCACTTGAAGGAGATGTATTGGTCGACTTCGTCACTTGCGGTGTCTGGCACATCGTCGTCGGTGTCCTCTAAATCAGATTAAGAGCCCGGTCGTTCGGATGTCTTCTTCTCTTAAGCAGCACTTAAGCCAAGATAACCTCGACATCTTCGACTTGGTCTTTCTTCGTCACTCGACCCTCTTTAGCACCTACGATCGTCTTCCTGACGTCATTGTGTACGGAACGCTTTTCTAAGTCGTCGAGCAGACGCAAGCTTTTTAGTTTGGGAAGGAGAAACAGCTACTTTGTGCAAGCTGTGCTGTTCGAGTTTTTCTTGAAGGAGCCGGGAGCACGTACCTTTGAGCGCCTGCAGAAGCTCAGAATCGTTGTTTTCTCTCTAGGCGCTTCAGAAGTTTCCTTCGCCACCAGTCCACAAAGTAGAGGGTTTGTTTAGATCATGACTCCAGGGCATCACTCGCTATCTTGAAGGGCTGAAAAAAGTTTACGAGACACTGCAAAGTACCTTACTCAATTTCGTGGACGGTGCTCGTTTTGAATTTCTCTGTCAGTACAGCAAAAAATTTTGTCCCACTGCTGAAAAATAGATGAGAGCATGATAAACTTGCTGTTCCACCTAGTTTCGACGCCTTTTTTGAGCGAGGAATCTTAACGGCACTGCAGCCCAGTTCGCTTGAAGAATGTAACCAAGGATCGACAAGCGCGGGGAAAATCTAAAAGAGCAATGGTGTAATCTCATTGGTCAGAAAGAATTGTTGTTTCAAGAACAGTGTTTGGAATGTGGCACAATTTAGGCGCACCTGTGATCTCAGTGCCGCGATTACATTCGTGCCTCTGTCTGTAACAAACACAAAGTTTCTAAGACAGTCTTTCTTGAAGGTCAAACCTCGGCAGCGGAGTAGTGAAGATCGGAGGTTTTCTCCTATCGTCTTGTTCTCTTTGTCGAGTTCTGTAGTACAAAGCACGCGCTACACCTACTTGCAGTGCTTCTTGTAGTGCAGTTTTATACAAAGGTAGCAGCTGTTTCGCTAATCATCCTTCCACAAATCAAGGATTGCCGTTGCGCCTTGCAAATCAAGGATGGAACGAATTTCCGCTTTCACAAGTTTTCTTGTTTCGTCAGCGATACATGCAGTATCGCGGACGAGACACCGTGGTCGGGTGCGGCAGCATGTAATGCCCTTTCGAACCTTACCACATTCAGCTCCAATATGAAAGAAGAACTGTGCCAGCGTCTCCAAACCTCGTCAAGCAATCCCGTCAAACGGTCTCACATCCCTCACAATAATATCCACGGCGCTCTTCAAGACACGCTCCTTCATCGCGCTTGTCACGGATGAAGGATGCTTCGGTTCTTCAATGTATCCCCGAAAGGTTGTATAAGACTTTTGACATTTTCGCTCTAACAGGTTAGATGTGACTCTCTTATGGCTGGAATACTGAAACACCTTCTTGCAAGTGCTGCATGCAATAAAGGCCTTGATAACTTAGTCTTTGTCAAGGATTTCTTTAATCGTTTTTAGAACTCCAACTTGCCCGTCTTCCACTTCAGCATGAACTCACCGCTTCAGGCCTCCCGCTAATGACGTCGTAGTCTATGTCGATATTCCTGCTAACCACGAGAGCTTACACGATTACATTTAGACTCGCAAAATCAACAGAAATCACCCTGACCGCTTTCTTAACCGCCGCACGGAAGATCGGAAACTTTCACCCGTGTTCCCTTTTCTCTCCCCTAAAGTCTGAACACATGTGAAAGGAGGCCGTATCAAGCAAAGGTATTTGGAAAGAGAGAACGGGAAGCAGCGGTCGGAAGACAAAAGCCTTTATTTCTCCTTTCTCCCATCGTAAAATGTAAAAAAAAAAAAGTAAAAAACCAACCGTTTTTTTTTTTCTTTTTCCTTTTGCTCGTGGCAGTTACGGAGACAGCAATCGGCAGCCGCCGGCATTGCTGGCGCCCTGACGTCATCACCAAAAGAATATAGACTACCACCAGACTTTCTTGCTTAGAACTCTAAGCATACGAAAATGAAACACAGTGTCAGTTTTTAGGGGCTGCCTATCTACGCTGTAAATTAATTTAAACCCTTAAAGTGTTTTGCAGTGTCTCTAACTCACACCCTAACACCCCTAGAAAAGGGTGTTTTGGACACAAGAACACCTATGCAATGGTTGTTCAAGCCAGCATTACGCCCTAGCACTCTACAAAAGAGTGAACGGGTGTAAGGGTGTACTTGTTCACAGATTAACGTTTGACCGTGAACGACTGCGTTAGGACCGTTTGTGACTGCATATGATAGACGCACTGGTGTCATCAGTCAAAAAGCCTTAGAACACCTCCGACCCGCGTATAACCAGACTGGGCTTTTTGGAGTATTTGCAAGATTAAATCTACAAAGATCTGTTAATTAACATTTTCAGATTTACTTCATTCCCATGTAGAAATTAGTACACATATGCAGATCGGAAGTGTACCAAGACTTCTCAATAGACAGCGTCAATGTGTTATTCTCATCATAAGCAGTAACAACCAGTCGTAACGCAGTCGGACACAATCAAGTGAAAATCTGCGAAAGAGCCACGCTTTTCTGTATCGATTGTAACGCATCCGGTGCCTGCAATAATAATATATTTCTGCTGTTGAGAATTTGAAAAAGAAACATGCTCGAAGTGGTTGCTCCATGCGTGCATACTGATGCATAAAAACACAGAAACGGAGGATAAAGTTGGAACTCATTTAATGTTTGCTTCCTTATACAGGTTTTTGGCTGTGAATGATGCCTTGCATGTTGCAATAAAACGTTTTGCGATGAACTTGGGTCTTAAAATACTAACACCTAAACAAAGGTATTCCAATATGTTGCAAACATTAAATGGCATTCTTGTGTACCTTGAGGTCAAACGTCAATCAACTGCGTGATAGGTTGTAGTTTCTTCCCCTAAGTCGATGACCCGAAACAGCCATCTCCTCCCAACGTACAAGAGCGTGTCAGTCTTCTTAAAACTGGGGCCCGCATACATGCCACAAAAACTGAGGGTTGTTTCTACCTCCTAGGATAAAAAGACAATAGAAAACAATATTTTAGGTATAGAGAAATGCACGACACATCTCCAGCTCAAAATCAAGCCGAAACCGTGCTGCTAAATGCCCACGCCGTTTTGCTTTGCGTGGAGGCAATGTGTTCCAACTAATTGCTTTTGTGTTGTAGTCGATGACGCCAGCTGAAGTTGACGGCAACATTAAAAGGTTCGGAAAATACTAAATTGTTAAATATCCGCTGTTTTGCAGGCCTTGCATGCGACGTCATATTGCACTGTACCATTTTTGTGCATTCGTACCTTATGCAACACATATTTGGCACCATCGAATTTGTTCTTGGCAAGCCTTGTCGAGAAGAACAGATCCGATGGTGCCAAAATGCTGCAAAGGGAACGGGCACAGTGCATGGTACACAGCAATGACGGCAACGTAACGTCAGTGCCAGCCATGTATTCCTTGATAAGATAAGCCAATGTGTGAGCAATGCAGCTGTCAGCAGTCATCTGCCAGGACGACATCGAAGGCAAAAACATGACGAGGTAAACCAGTATGCAAACCAAATATGCACCATTGTGCTTCTTGAATTTTGTCTGGAATGGAGCCACACACCAAGCTTCCAAGATTTATCAACTCCAAATGTTATGTCGACTAAAACTTCCTTAAATGCAAACTATTAGGGTAATAGACAGAATGGGTTCACGTACGGTTTTGGAGACTGTACCAGAAGAAAGATGCTGTTTTGTGAATCCAACACATGTTTCACCGAGCCACCTCTCTAAATTGCACTGCTCCCTTAGCCATCTATTGTTTTTGACCTGTCACTTAGTAAAATCATTGTCATCTCTCGTGATATTATTTATCAATTGATCCTTCACAAATGTTTGCCTCGCGACTATGGGTCAGAAGCACATTTAGATCACAAAAGTCTTTCTCATTACTGACGGCCCTCAGCATAAAAAACTTCAAACTTTTATACTTGGCTGTAAATACTATAAATGTGCGAATATTTAAAACGCCCAAATATCTGTGGAACCTATTGTTCTCAATTGTAGGTGATTTGTAAACTTTGCAATATGCAGGACTTTAGTGTGCATAGTCTGTATATTATCCTATGAACCATTCGAACAGCATAAGAGAAGTCAGTTCTATCCCCGCCATACTCCCAGGTAAAATGGAAAAGGAACAGAGTCGTTACTTTCTACGTAACAAAGTGTGAATATCGCCGAGTTATGCTGAAATGCCAGGACCATCTTCTCGGTGTGATACGGCTTCCAAGTTGGCCCCAGGCTATGGTAGTGTGCCAGCTTGCAAAGGTGCATGAATCTCATGCCATGTTTTCACCCGAGAAAACAAAACGATTAATATTTGTTTACTTCGAAAAAACAAGCAAAAACTTCCGGTTTTGTATGGTTGAATTCAGCCAGTCATTGCGAGCACATTATAGAGACATAAGTCACTTCTGTGATTTTTAGTATTTAAAATTGCAAGAAGTTTTAACCTACTTCAATATACAGGTATGAACGATGTTTTTAAGTTTACTGCAACAACATAGGTAATGCGTTGCGATGACTACATACAAACCAGCTAGCCTTATAGTATCGAAGTCTATACTTATCAACGGTAGGGTTAAATGCAAGTCAACCAACCTGCCATTCCTCCGCTCTACTGTATGTCATGTTCGGGTCGCCCTTGTCCCCATCCTGGAAAAAAAAAAGACAAGGCGTCCGTGCCATGCTCCTGATGTGCAGTTTTTTTGGTTCCCAAAAACCGCGGGCTGCCAGCCCAACCAACTTTGAGTTCCTCTTGCTGTCTCTCGGGTGAATGTTCGTTCAACTGCTTTAGACGTCAATACTGTGTTTCAGGTGCACCTGAAATAAACTAAAACAGAAACCAAACCAATGTTTGGCCTTTTTGTAAAGGGTCTTTTAGTTTTGTGATATCACACACACAAGTGACAGGTAGCAGTGTAACTTTATTTTAGGACAAACACTTTCATATGTATTTTTCAGAGAGTGTCATAACACAGTCAATATCAAGTGGCAGGCGAGCATGTAAAATGTTGCTAACAAATATTCTGCATGTTTCTACACCCCGCCTTATGGCATGCACCCAAATAGTAACAGGAACAGAAAACTGTTAGTTAGCAAGAGCCCTGCGCAGGAACAGTATGCCCCTAGCTGTTTGCCTCCAAATGTTCTGAAACTTTAATAATGTTCCTGTCCAGCTGTTCATTTGATTAACCAGGTTGTCACACAAGAAATAACCCGAAAAAACACGACATTAAAGGAAAACCTCGTGGCACTCCTGTTATTCATATAGCATTAAAATGTCACTGACAGCCACATGAATAACATGTTTCTAATGTATTGCTAAAATATTAAGGCAACCTCGCTGTAATAAAAAACCCTGTAAGCGTTTTTCAGGGACACCCCATAATATTCCTCCAAAGTCAAAAATTCAAAATCGGTTTAAAACAAAAATACACCGATAAACATCTAACGGTGGGCAAAGTAAAAAAAGAAGGAAAGAAAAACAAATTAAGCCGGCAAAACACAAATTTTGAGTTTTTTCTTGCACCAGCCAGGACTGAATTTGATCAAAACTCTCTCTTTTTGATTCAACTTTAATGAGATTTTCTCACAGATAACCCCCTGTTTAGCGTCCGTCCAAAACATACCCCCAAAATGCACTGAGATTTAAAGAAAACACACACACGCACACACTCGCGCATATACACACACCATTTCTTTTTTAAAAGCCATTACTTCACGGGAGACACTGCAGTGATTTCGACCTCGTCTCCTGTCGTCACCGCTACGGAAAAACCTTTCTGCTCTTGGAGCGAGGCCAGGCAAGTCGGACTTTCTTTTCGGCCGCCCCGGCATCCCGCCACTAATGACGCGACAAAAGGGGAGTCTTCCGTGTCGTCTGCTTGAAAAAAAAAAACTTGTTTTCAGACCTTACTCGCGTTATGCGAAATCCCACTTTGGCCCCATCCAGTTGCTACGCGTAATGTCGGATGATTTCAGAAACTTTCACCGCGCTTACACACTTACTTCACCGATCACGGAGCACTGGTGGCGGCCGTCAGTGGCCTTCACGACGCCAACCACGACGGCTATGAGAATTAACCACGCCGTCCTCAGGTACGTGACGGCACAATTCCGCCCGCAGTGCGTGACCGTGCTACAGCTATCACAATCGTTCCTTCGCACACTGTGGGTAAACAACATGACTTCTTTTTAGAAAACACCAGACCATCTCCACCTTACTTATAATTGTTGCAACAGTTCCTTCTTTTGCAAGTAAATAGCCAAAAACAATATGCTAAAAAAGAGGACCGTCTGAGGATCGTTAAATGTTTACACAATGTATATGGTATTTAGTGAAATAACTTAAGGTCCATTCAAGAAGTACCTAAAATTGTTTTTTAAAGCTTTCAGTGACACTATTTAGCCTGTGGGATTGAGGGTGGCGAAAAAAAAAAGCGCAGAGAACGGGACGGGGCAATTAAAATTAGCCGGGTGTTAATTTGTCCGGCCTGCGGTTGCTATTAAAAGAAAGACAAATGAACACCACATATACAACGTATGTCCCACACTGCCGTACGAAGCAGCCCTACGACCAATTATACGCCAATCTTTTTATGTACAACGTACAGTTGTATTTGAAATCTCGGCATGGTTGTCTACCATACGTCTCCTGTCGAATTGCACAGAAATTGCATGGTTTTCTTCCCCTAGTTTAATAATTCATTAAGTAGTAACATCTTAACGATCTTAACTAAGTAGCCATGGCGAGCACCCCAGAAATATTTTGTGCTTTTCATGTGGTTAACAAGTGTAAAATATAAGGGATTCTCTTGAACCCCTTAAAGTTATTTATTCCGTTGATAAAACTACCTAGTTTTTATATGTTTCTTTGTATAAGCATTTCGAATGGTAATTATGGCGACTGCTCTTATGGGTGCATATCTTTTTGCTTTCAATAGGATGCCTGAATAATTTGGCAAATAAAAAAATATATACAACAAAGAGCCTCGATTAAAGCTGCTAAATATGCTGTGGCTGAGTTAGTCGTCGAAAGGCGTGTTCGACATAGTATATGGTTTATTACCTGAACATTTGAAAAGAATCTCGCGAAAAACGTTTTTATGCTTGCGCGGATTCGACGAATTCGACAGGCCGCGCGCAGCAATTTATGCGCTTGATAATAGCGCTCGAAGGTTTCTTAACAACGTAGAAGCCGAAAGTGCTCCTAAGTTTCATCAGTTCCTTTTGTTAGAAGCCATTTATGAAGACGGTTTTACGCATTGTTCTAATATTGATTAGATTAGTTATGGTTTGTGGCGAAGAACTCAGACGCCATGAGCTATTTTACTTCGGTATCATTCATTTTTTTTTTATTTTTAATCACAATAAATTTTTTCCTGAATGGCAGATCTTACAAATTATTTATTTATACATTTATTTTTTTTTTATACAGAAAACGCAACGAACTGTGCTGTGGATGTATCTTGTGGTGCATTTCCACCAATTTAGAATGCGCATGCGCGATAAATGTTTGGGCTATATTTTGCGTTGAGGCTATACAGATGACGGTTTTATAGTTATGCCCAAGTCCCACTAGAGCAACAAACAGAAACCAACGACAGCGACAAGCCTCATACTCATGCAGCATGCTCGCGATAGTACCTCTGGCAGGCGTTTAGCCGTTCGGTGCTCTTGAAGTAAGCACGAGTGATTGCAAGCCTGCCAAAGATACCCTCGCGTGCATGATGCTCGTGTTTAGCATAGCCTCCTTTATTCTAAAAAGCCTATCAAATCGCGAAAGACTCTGTTTTGAGACTTGTGGCTGTCGTTTGTTTATCTTTCTCGCTCTTAGTTGGACGCGTGCGTTACCAGGAAAACTGAACATTTAAACTGCAACTGCGGGGCTATGTTTGTAGTCTCATGTTGAGGGAAAGAGATTGATTTGCTACGTCATGGTATAAGAGTTGTTTTCAAGAGCGGATCCTCAATGAGGGCTCGCGAAATAACAAGACGGTATAGCTACCTTTAACAGAGGTGGTGAATTTCCAGTCTGGCGCTCAAGCTATACACGACGTTAATGATTCGAGCGTAAAATTATCTTTGGGAACAATTTATGAAAATGCAGGTTGTAGCTGCGTGCTGAAGAAAAGTATCGTATTTCTTTGTACTATACGCCACAGACTATATGTGTTTGAAAGCTTAAATTTCACGCGTGCGGACAATCCACAGGTTGCAATCAATACAGGCTTTTTTTTAAATTTTGACCGGGCGTGACAAATGTCGTGTACATACGATTATGTTACTGGTGAGCTACGCATAATTCAAGCTTCTCTGTGAGCCAAGAAAGCAGACATTTGTCAAGGTGCCTGCTTTCTTGGCTCCACCTCCCCCCCCCCCCCCCCGCCTCCCCCCGTGGGTGCGCCACTGTGGGAAACTGTACACACCACGACACTGTTAGTGTGAATACGATCATTGGCGGTTTTTGCATCTTGCTAGGACAGTGTATTGAGGGATGCAATGTTGTGACACATCGGTTGGTGCATCAGATGAGCACGTTTCACCACATAGATACTTTTGGCTCTAGTGCGTCATCTGTCAATATAAGATTGTATATTACGGAAAGGACTCGCTCGTGCCGTGTACATCACCAGTGCAACGGCGGGCTGGGAAGAGGGGGGAGAGGGGGCGATTAATTTTACCTTTAAAGGTCCTTGTTGTGGAGATTACATTTAAAAAAATCGTCAAAATACGCAAAAAAAAGTCTCGCGGAGCTCTGGGGGGGGGGGGGGGGGGGGGGTTTATGACCCTCAAACTCCCCCCCCCCCCCCCCCCCCCCCCGTGGGTGCGCCACTGGCTCCGGAACTTCGCAGTTTCTAACGGCCTCGTTTGCTCGTATGATAATATTAGGGGTGGTAAAATACATCAATGCAACTGAACTGGTCTGCGCGTTTAGGCTGGGAGACGGAATCAGAGGCAGCTTTCGCTTTCGCTGAAGCTCAATCAACTCAGCAACGTTTATTAAACAACGCGCGCGACGTGCTCGAAAACACGAAATCGAAAAAAGATGTAAGGACAGAACGAGCGGGTTGGTAGGGATAATTAAACTTGAGGAAGAAACCGCGCAGGGGGGACGGACACACACAAACTTCCAACTGGCAACAACATTTAATAACCCCAAGAGTTTGCTGATATACAGGAAAAGGGGGGGGGGGGTGAAAAAAGGGGTGGAAAGGGGGAGCACTATGGCGTCAAGGGTACGTCGTCGCTGTCGGGAACGTGGGGGGAGAAAGCTCCGAACTAAGAAATCTTATCTCTTTCCCCGAAAGGGCAATGGAAGGAGAACCGATGTTGTCATTGGATCGACACATGGCGAAGGCTTCTAGAATCTCCCGACCATACCTCGAACCAGGCGACCCACCGGCAGGTGGCAGAGCAATGCGTTTCAGTCGCAGCTCGCGTGTCTTGGAGACTTTGGCACCCGACTGTACATTCCGATGCGTGTTTGGGGATCGGGTGGTGAGTAACCTCTGAACCGTTGGAGACCGCTTTTTTAACCTCGTTCGCGTGCTCTATCAGGCGGTCGTTTAAGCAGCACCCCGTTTGGCCGATGTATCGGGCACCACAGGACATGGGAATTGAGTAAGCACACTCTTTGCGACAAGGAGCGTAAAAGGTTTTGTGGTTCTTTTGGCAAGGGGGCGCCGGTCCGGGGCTGTTGACTTTTTTGCAAATAGATGCCATTTTAAACTTACACGAGGAAACCACGTTGGTGTTGAAGCTCTGCGCTATTGATTTCAATCGATGCGAAATGTTATGAATGTAGG